CAGAGGAATCTTAAATCCATATTACTAAGTGAAAAAAGGCCAATCTGAAAAGAGTGCATAGTATATGACTTTAACTATTTCACATTCTGAAAAGGGCAAAACTATGGAAATGGTGAAGAGATCAGCGGTTGCCAGGCTTTGGGGAAGACAGGATAGAAAGGGCACAGGGGATGCTGAGGACAATGCAATGACTCTGTGTGATGCTGCCTTGATGGTTACATGTCATCGTACTTTTGTCCAAACCTCTGGATGTACAAAGTGAACCCTGGTGCCGACCACAGACTCTGGGTGATAATGACGTGTCAATGAGGGTTCATCAGTTGTATTAACGACAAGGTTCCTGCTCTGGGAGGGTTGTGGATCTTGGATGAGGCTGTGTGTGTGTGTGTGAGGGAGGAGGTATATGGGAAATCTCCACCATCCCGTCTGTTTTTCTGGGAACCTAAAACTGGTCTTCCAAAAAGCCTACTCACTGACTTTTTAAAACACATTTTTAGTAGTAAGTCTTTAAACCCTGATACGCATGTTACACTCACCACACATCTTGATTAGGCTAGATTTCAGGTCTCGGTATCTACCTGGGACAGGTGGTTCCTGCCCTAGTCAGTTAGGCCCTGCACTCTCCCAGCCCGCCCTGAGGATGGACACCAGGGGCCATTACCTGCTGGATGAAGCCCAGAGCAGGGAGCCCAGAGCAAGGGAAAGGAAAAATGATTGTGTGGTCATCATTATAGCAACCTCTGGGGTGTGGTGTTTCATCTTCCGTATGCCAAGTTCACCCTCCCTGTACAAAAAAGCATGTGATAATGAGCCATAAAATATAAAACACTCCAGCCCACAAACAGACACAAAACAGTAAGTGAAATGAGCATCTTTTCCTTCTGAAACACACCAATGGGAAACCATTGCCATTTGGATGTTCAAAGTGCACATCTATGATATTTTGGGGTGTTTTCCTCAGTTTTATTTCATGGAGTCACCACTGAGGTAGTGGTACCTTGCTGATGTATAGTATATACTCACTGAGTTCAGTAGATCACTACTGTTTTAGAATAGGCTGATGTTTTAGGGCAATTAAGTAAATAAGTATCTAAGTTTTGTTACCTTGCTATGTAGTAAGAGGGAAGGTTAGTTTTAAAATACACCTGAAGCTAATAAAATATCGCATACCAACTATATTTAAATAATTTTTAAAAAAATAAAAAATACAAATTAGTCACAGTAAGAAATTAACAATAATACTAATAAAATAGAAAAATTATAACAATATACCGTAATAAAAATAAAATAGACCTTTGGAAGAATAAAAATTGTAAAACATCAGTTATTTACTACTATACATCTAAAAATCTTTTACTGGGCATTTTAACTATCAACTTAACTGCTCAGTTGAAAATTAAACTTGCTACCAATGAGGAAATCATTTTGGTGATGGCGTGAGTGATAACAGTGATAATCAGAGAGCTCACATTCATGACATCCTTTCTTCCCCAGGCAGCTCAATGGCCCTCCTGACAGTCAGTGTAGAAAGTGAAGCTATCCCTGTCAGGAACGACAGGCAGACCTCATGGGTGGGCCAGGCCATGGCATGGTCCCCAGGGGCAGGGTATAGCCCAGTTTTTCAGAATCAGTCAGTGAGATGGATACTGCTCTGGGAAGCAGTGAGGGCTGTGGCTACTGCCACAGCTTCTGAACTTCATTCAGTTGTGTTAGTCACTTCTCCTTCTGGATAAAAGGGGTGAGTACCAACCTTTCTGCATAGAGTTCCGGAGGCTTTCCTGGGAAAGCTCACAGAGGTGAACACAGCCCCTGGCATAGCCCCTGCTCAGTAAGCCCTAGGAATTCCAGCTCTTGTTCTGTACTAACATTTCATTTCCATGTAGTCAGAAAAGACTGGGGCAGGTGTGCAATAATATTTACAGAGTAAATTTAAAAAGTGAGTTGATTTTTAGGAGGCTGAGAGAATAAATAAATATGAAATGGAGAATTGGGGGGGTTAAAATGAAGAAAGAAACTGAGAGACTGAGAATGAGAAGAACTAGATGGCAAAGGAGAACAAGAGAAGCCTTGGCTTCGTGGAAGCAAAGTAAGGGAAATGCTTGTTGGTGAATGAGAGGGCAAGATGCCAAGTTCTGTAATAAAGAAGTGATTAATTGGGGCAGCCAGGGAGAGGATTAGAACAGAGAGCTTTTGATATTGTGCAGTTAGGAAGGAAGACTGCAAAGAATTTTAAAGCATATGAAAAAAAAAGACAGAGAGAAAGAAGAGCTGGAAAAAAATTAAAGACCAGAGAACTGATTTTTTTCATGGGTTTGCTGTTTAATCCAGTCAAGCATGCAATGCTCTGCTAATAATGTGAATTTCTCTTTTGGTTGCTTTTCCCCAGGAAGCAGAAATCCTTGTTTGAAAATCTAGACATCCCAGAACCCAATAATGTGAAATTAAATTCAAGAAATACATCATGAAGCCATCATGCTATTTAAGATTTTGATGGGACTTTCAAAATCTGAGTGATGATAGCTAAATTCTACCTCCCACACATTCATTGCAAAAATTCAGAATCTTGTGTGTCATATGTGAAAAACTCAGAGCAAAATGAATAAGCTTCTAACATTCTCTGCCTGGCTGGAGCTATCATGCAAAATGGAAAAGACTGAAATGTGTAAGAGAATGTGGACTAAGTGGGAGAGGAGGGCCATGCGTGATGACAACATACCAACCTTTGCTACCTGCCCCTTCGAACACAAACTGAAATTGCCTAGAATTTATACTGTACCTCTCTTCCTAGGAGCCTAAAATGAGCACATATTTCTAATTTACCTCCACTAAGGTTACTATTGATAAAATGTGTTATGAGAGCATTTCATGTCTCTAGGACACATATGGAAGTTGGGGGTATATAAAGCAGGCATACAAAATTATCAAGACCGTTTTAAAGTTGGAGAATTAGGAGAACAAATCAGGTCCCTGGAAACCTGAAGGAGGACCTAGAGTCATTTTCTAACCTCCAGCCCACATCACATCCGCTGAAACTTAGAATGGCCATTGATCATTCAATCATTTGCCAACTAAGCAAAAGACGTGAAACTATGCATTTTGCAGACCACTGCCGTCTGTTTTATTCCAACAGCTTGGCAGGGAAATCTCTTTTTAAGGCTGAGGAAGTAATTCAGTAGCCAAACCCATTTTCCCTGCCTTGCTTGTTCTGCCATCAGCTGCCCCAGGAGAAGTGCTTGAGAGGGATTAGTGGAAGGAGGTTGAGACATCTGTGGGTGTTACCTATCACTTTATCATCAAACAGAAAGAATTTACAAAAATGAAGAATCCCCCAAAGCCATGGAGTGCCAGAGTCACTGCTAACTCGATAATTTATTGAGTCACTCGAGGTCGCAGAAGCATGTGTACAAAATTGAAAACTCTTGTAGACAAGAATGAGTACTTATTGGAGTGTCTATATATCAAAAGTAATTATATTAACATCATTTACTACTGCTTTTCATGGACCATTATGTTTAAAATGCTTTAAAGTGCTTGGGTGGTTTAAAAGATCTGAGACTTAATCCGTATTTGCCCACTAGCTAATCTTGAGCAAGTGAAATTTCTTTTGATCTCAGTTTTTCCCTCTGTAAAGCGAGAACCTTCGACCAATTGATTTCAAAGGTTCCTACCAGGTTCTATTGTTCCATGCACTTCCGTGACCCATACTCTCTGGGCTCAGTTTCCTCCAGAGTAAAAGGAAGACATTAAATTGAACGATCCCTCAGCCCTCTGGGCTGCCAATAAAGACATCAATGCAGCAATTTTGATAAAAACTGAAAATGCCCAAACCTCAGATGAGTACCAGGAATATACACTCCCTGCAGCATCACAGACGGGGGCTTCTGCATCTTGTCTCACCAGCATGTAAAACAATGGCCAGGACAGAGGGGGCCTACATAGACGCTTGACCAAAAGTGAAGGTGAGTGATTATCCTCTTTCCCTGTGATGGCAAGAATCACAGTTAAAGCACCACATTGTTTTCCCCTTTTGACATGAGTGTCTAAAAATGTTTTAACAAGAAAAAAAGCAATGTTCAATGAGTGCATTTTCCTGAAATTTGCAAGGAAAGTAGGAGCATACAATTTATAACCAACAAGCCTCTCTTCTCACAAAAGCAGTGGAATCATTTTACTAAAGAAATTCCTATCTGCTAAATCTGAAAGATTAAGCAAAAAAGCTGTGTCCACCAATAAGTGGACTGTAGAGTCACCAATAAGTGGAATGCCAACCACCAGAGAAATCCCTCCCAGCCCCTACATAGGACATGTGGAGGTCATAATCAAGTTTTCTGAAACTTGTGAAAAGTGTTATCAATAAGGGAAACTAGTGTACTCTGCATGGAAAATTCTGGAAACTGTCAGAAGAGTTAGGTTCCACCTTCCACCTAGGAATATAGGCAGTGAGGCACATCCCTGGCCACTGTTTCCCAAGGTAACCTTATAGAAGCTCCTGCAGGTACAAACCAGGGGTGTTGTATGAAGAGGAGATTATGGAGACACTCCTCTGCTGAGCCTTCATCACACTGAGGATGGGGTTGTAACTGATTTCGGTTTTCCCTCCCCAGAACTGGGGGAATGGTTGCATCCAGTGTGGCCTCGCTGCCCATATGCCATTCAGCTCCTGTCTGCCTTTTTGTTTACACTGGGGACACAATGGAAGCTATAGTTCTTCCAATACATCATTTATAAGTGTATTCTACCTCTGAATGTACAGACAGAACTGGCTGTGGGTGAATAAGCTCTGTGAATATTGCCAAGACACTGTGCTTTGTTCAGCATTATTCCTCACAATAGATACCACACTTTGGAAGTAATTTTAAAAAGGGAATCAAAATAGTGGTACTTTTAGCCTTTGTTTCTTTTATACCACACTGCATTCTCTGTCTCTCATTCAGCCGCTCCCATTATACTGACAAATTAAATAAACCACTCCATTGCAGAAAGGCTCAGGCAGGCAGGACTTCACTCCACTGCAGCCCCGGGAACTTGAAATAAACATTGAGGCGGTTTCTGCTAGCAATTTCAGCTAACTTTACCCAAGAAGCAAAAGAAAAAAGGGGTGGGGGACTTCGGAATTTGAGTTGGCCAGAAGCACCTGAGAGCTGGCCTCTGCAGCAGGTAATGGACCACCTCGGAGAGGGCTACATTTTCTAGAAGTGCTGAAAGTCCCTTCCTGCTGTGTGGTCCCTGGGAGCAGGAACAGGTGAGTCACAGCGAGGCTCTGAGGCAGCAGAAGCCCAGTAGCGAGGGGCTGGCTGGGGGGCGTCCACGAAGCTGGGCAGCTGATGGATCTGGGAGGTCCAGAAGTTTCTTCCTTGCAAGCCTCTTGGCTTTTCTCTCCTTTTCTAAGGCATAATTTATTCCTACATTTGCTGAACTGCTTCCTAAAGAGGAAGAGTGGTCACTCAGGCGCAGAAGCAGCAGCTCCCTCTCCATCTCTGTCTTTTTCTCTCTTCTTTCTCTTCCTGATGTTCTTTCTCTCCCTCCTTCTCTCTCTCTCTTAAACTTTACCTTGACTTTTAGAAGTTTTTGATTTATACAGTCACAACTATTTTTGAAATCCAGGCAAGGAAAAATAGATGACAGGGTTTTTTAGTATGTTATTGGGTTGTTGTTGTTTTTTTTGTCTTTTTAAGGTTCAAAAGGAACTAGAGACATGAATGTGAACTTTGGAAGATACCCCTCTAACTTTTGGGCTAAAAACATTTTTATATTTTCAAGAGAAAGAAATAAAAGAATTATTTTACCCTTGGGAGGGATGCACTTTTATATTTAATAACTGATTTTTTACATAAAGACACAGATTTACTCTGAAATAAGGTACACACTGGAGTCATTTTGGCGAAAAATCTGGGTTTATGATTATTAGTAAGATATAATATGTATTCTAGCTCTTTCTCTAAAAGTAGTCCTGGTTTGACTTGGAAAATTCTGTGGATGTTGTAGAAATCCTCTTCCAGTATCTGTGCTGGGACCCCACCTCCCCGATGACCCCTTGGTTCCCAACCACTCTTAACAAAATAAGCGGAATTGGTGGGAAAGACAGTGCTGAGAGTGCTTGTTGTCAGGGACCTCAGAGGCGGCCGATTTCCTTATGAAAACAGAGCTCCAGTAAATGCCAGTCCAGGAGATGGCTTTGAAGGCTCCAGCCACCAGCTAAGATGACCTCATTTAAAATGCGTGGTGGCTCCGGTGTGGAGTGGGAAACTGTGTTCCAGCAGAGGCATCCCCTGGCTTCGAAGTCAGAGGCCACTGCGGGCAAAGGGAAATATTGAGCCAAAAGAGTTTGAACAGAACCATCAGGGTTCATCTTTTATTACCAAAGAAAGACTTGAAAAAGCCCAAGTGAAATTTTCTTCCATTGTCTAGAAAAATTCTCTGTAATTTGCCCCCAGGGAAATCCAAGGACCTGGTACCTAGGGCCCCACCCCACCTCCTCCGTTCTTCTTTTTCCTCCTCTGTCAGGGTAAATGTCTCCCCTGTCCCCCGAGAACAGAGTGGGTGAGCAGGGGATGCTGAAGGTCAAGATTACCCACTGTGGCCTGACTTTTAAGCTAAAGAGGTTTTTCTTTCTCTTGTTGCCATGTCAGGTCTAATTTGGCTGCATTATGCTAAAGGGGTGGGCCTGCTCCTGACAGGAGGGGGTTAAATGAGATTACAAGCCTTCGGGGCTGTCAGCAGCTCCTGCTGCCTGGGATGTTAAATTGCGATTTAATGGTCAGCTTTATCTGTAGAGTATTAGTGGAAATCTGCTGTTTTCAGCAACTTAATTGGCACTGTGTTTGCAGGAGTTTTTCGGGGAGGTAGGAGAGCTGACCAGATTTTAATGCTGAATTATTTAGAGATCACACTGGCAGAAGAATGTCAGTGGAAATCTGTGGCGCGTTTTGTTTTTCTGAAGCACGGAAAGCTTATGAATGGGCAAGATGCCGGTTCCACCGTGATGTCCAAAACTTTCTAAAAATATTCCTGGGGTCTGATGTAGTTTATTTATAGACAAAGTAAACAAAGAGTAACAGTTGCTATCACAACATATGTGTGGTGCCTGACTTTCTCAGGGCAGTGAGAAGCTCTGATGGAGAGGCAGGGAATGCTCAAGTGAGTGTGTCGGTCTTTCCAGAATTTTAACAGTGTGGAGCTGAGTGTTCCTGGGGTGAATTATAGGAGACCAAAGCAGCACAATTTGGCCTCATGACAGGGAAGTGTGGGCGCATGTTTGTGTTCATGTGCACCTAGGCACCTGCCTTCATATGTGTGTGTGTGCGTGGAGGACGGAGCGTGATCGCCAACCAGCATACTGGTTTGTCTGTCTGTGGGTGTCAGAGTAGTGTGGGCAAAGGTTGAACCGTATGAAACCGTGAACATCTCATCATGTTAGCCTTAGAAACCCATCAATGACCTACTGTGCCATCCAGCCTGTTTCAGAAGGGAAGGACCATGTATCATTTGGTATTTCTGTACACATGCCCACAGAGGGAGGTGGGTGTGCTGTCTTCTTAGGATTGCCTGCGGGAGAGAGTTTTCCCACAGGAAGGGAGAAGCTGCCAGGAGCCTGAATGTTGGTATCACTTGAGGGAGACTAGGTGGTACGTGTGGGGGTGGGAGAGCAGTGGAATTGGGACAGTTGCAGGACTGTTGGAGGGGAAAAAAAGCAAAAGTAAGAAAGTAAACAGAGAAAGTGTTTTCCCAGCAGACATCTGCATTGTCTGTTCCCAGTTAGGGTCAGTCCGGAAAGTTCAGGATTAGTAAATTTAATATCCTGTCAAAATTCTCATGATAATGAATCCTGGTCGGCCGGCTGGCACAGCGGCTTCAGCACTGCAGCCGTGGAGATAGCGCAGCTAATTTATGAGCAAGAGATTGTGCTGTGCTGGCACCAGCAGGCGCCCAGCACAGCCGAGGGGCGGTCCCCACAGCGAGTGGCAGCTCTGACTCTTCCCGATCTTGCTCAGCTCCCAGCCTGGCCGCTCCCATGGGCCCCTGCTACATGCCTGAGTGGCCCATTTGTACCTCTTTCCCTGCAAGCCCTGTTTTTTCACTAGGAGAATTCGGAATATGTCTTGTAACCTATTCCAACGCTGTTCCGTCAATATTTTTAATCCAAAATGAAATGCAGAAGAATGAACACAAAAGTTGCAAGGCTAGGAGAGAAGAGAGATGGGTGAAGAGAGGGGAAAACTGGCTGAGAGAATAAATCGCAGATGCTGTGGCTGCCTCCTTGTAGCCCGGCCTGGGCAGTATTTAGGGGGTAATGCAAGATGTTATGTCCCTCAGTGAAAAATATAAAAACGAGAAAGTTCCTGTGCAATTTGTTCAAGGCTCTGCACCTCTCTAAGCAGCTGTCAGATCCGTACATTATGGTACATTGAATCTGAATGAGGCTTTCAACATCAAAACCTTGCATCCATTATGATATCATCTCCCGCTCTAAGCCGTAATGCTTATTAATTCTGCACCCATACTCTCCCGGCTTCAGCAAATGTATTCCATCAGCCTAGCATTTAATTTAATTAGTACAGCTGGGCTCTCATTCTCCTTTCTGTGTCAGAGGTATTGTCAGCACGTTCTGCTGTAACACAATTACTGATTGCTTTTAGATAGGCAGAAATATGATTAGGGTATTGGGTGACTGTATCATAAGCCTTATTAGATTCATTTGAAATCTGGAGATAAATAGGAAACTTTTATTTGCAGTGTAATGAGATTATGCTTATTAGGCCAAGACCTCACAGCCTTTTGCAAAGAACACTGTATCAGTCGGATTATACTCTGGAAACACACTCTGCTCCCAGTATCCAAGCCATTTCTGAGCGCCTTCAAGACTTCACTGTTGTCACACTGTATATGTTTTAGGATTATGGCCACCTTGTATCTTCCTCATGATAAAGGACATGGAAAGCCCTCTTCCTTCTCAAAGTCTGATAAAATACATACATCTTGAAATGGCATTTTATTTTCTGAGAAATGTTTTGAAAAAATCAGTGCACAGGCTCAAAGAAATTATACTTTTCAACGTATTTAAATTTGCCTTTAAAGATGTTTGCATTTATTAGATGTCGCTTACAGAGATTGGCATGTAATGAATGGCTTAAAAATCCCTAGTGCTCAATCTCTAAAGCATTTATCACAGCTGTTATTGTTTTGATAACAGCTAGTACAATTCCAGAAACATTTATTTTTTTCATTGGCATTTATTTGATAATCTCAAATTTCTAATATTTGTGAAGTGTTTGTGCCAGAAATTTCTTCTTCTCCCCCAAATAAATCACTTACAGATAGTGTGGAACTATGAAGAACAAGCTAGCATGATTTGAAGAAACTACTGAAATAAAAAGAATTTAGGATGGCAATATATTTAAATGACCTGAAATTTGTTAAATACACTTTTTTGTTATAAAATATAATATTTCCATGCCCCCCAAAAATGATAATGATTTTTCCTAGATATAAAAGTTTTAAAATGATATATGATTTTGCTTTGGGAAAATCTAAGATATAAAATCTAAATTTGCAAAATATATGCCATATCTTTAAACTGTAATTTATCTCCTATATTACTCCCATCCCCCACCCCACTTCATTTTTACTAGATAATTGGTAACATTTATTTGACTTAAATAATTCTAAGTAGATTATTTTCATGAGTTCATTCTTTGGATAAGACTTGCAATATCAATGTGTGTGTTTTCATGTTAACGTTATACAAAATAAGGGGCATCTATCTCTTAGTTAAACACGTGGTCAAATCAAAATGTGTAAAAAGGAAGACTTATCCTGGCTCACCAAACCCAAAGTCCAGCAGGAGATGGGAGTTTGGAGACAGAGAGAATGCGTGGTCATTGCTTAATGGATACAGAGTTTCTGTTCGGGGCGATGGTAAACTTTTGGAAATAAGATGGTCCCACAACATTGGGAATGTGATGAATACCACTGAACTGAACACTTAAACATGGTTAAAATGATGAAAGTTATATTAGGTGTATTTAACTACAACAACAGGAAAAGAAAGAGACAGGGTCAGTGTGTCACCAGCTCGAGTTGCAGAATATGGGATGCACTGTAGCCAGTGACTTCTACTTCTTCCTGTGGGTTTACCAGTGGTAGTGAATTTTACATTTTAATCTAGCAAGCTTTACACTCATTCCTGCTGGTTTGATTTAGACATTTAGTGCCAATTAAAGTATAAAAAATTCTAGTGAAGAC